TTGCTTGTTCCCTGCCGTGTTGTTTTTCCAAACTGATATCAGGGTGGTTAAAATCCCCCAAGAGGACCAGGGCTTGTAAATGAGCAGCAACTCCTATCTGCCTATGTAGGGCCTCATCCACTTGGTCCTCCTGATTGGGTGGTCTGTAGCACACCCCTACTGTAAAGTCTCCTACCCTTCCTTTCACTCTGGCCCACAGGACTCTGTTCTTTCGTCATCACTTGCCAGGTGGAGCTCCATGCATTCTAGCTCTTCGTTGACATAGAGGGCAACACCCCCTCCTCATCTCCCCTGCCTGTCCTTCCTGAACAGTTTATACCCCTCTAGTCCAACACACCAATCGCAGGAGTCATTCCACCATGTCTCTGCTGTGATGGGACGTGTCACAGCATTTGGCTGAGTAGATAAGGCAGGAGAAATACTGCATATTTACATTCAGGAGCATATCACAGGCAGGACAGGAAGAAAAGGAAACAAACAGCTAAACTGACAACGAAACAGCATTGTTATAAGCTACACATTTTGCTGCCCCAACCAAGCCATACCCAGTGGAAAAAATCACTCTTAACTGCAGAAGCCCGTAGGACTAGTACTTTGGTGGCTTTGGCTACTGGCTGAACATCTTGAGGTCCAGTGGTAAGCCACTCCACTGGCCAAATGCTCATAAACATACACGTTGTCTGAGAAGCAGAAGCATAACATGGGTCTTACAAGCATTTCAGGCTCTCATAGGACTCATCCTGAGCTACTTGAAAAGAATTTAAAGGAAAGATCTGAAAGGTCAGTACCATCAGTCAGCAAAGACACCGCACCATCCGAAAGGGAATTCTACTGGAAAGACCAATATTTGAGTATCAAAAGGAAGGACTCTGGGACAGATCTCTAAGCTAGAAGTACTTCTGACTAGGGACAAGAGGCACACAAGCTAGAGGGACAGCATGTCCTCTGGGCAAGAGGCTGCACTTGGAAACACTCGAATCATCCGAGCTACAGCCAGCACTGCTCGTTTCTTACACCAGGAAGCAGAAGAGATTCCGTCTGAGACAGCACCGCAGAAGGCAACTGACATTTTTCCCAGAGCAAATGTGGCTAACTGTTGCCTTGACATGGAAGTTGTATCCCACCAACACGTTCCAAGTTCATGGAGGATGCGGCTCTGCCAGCAAAAAGGAATTTCAGCACCTGAGCAGAGCAATGCTGCACAGGTCAGTGGCTCCGGGACCTGTCAGCCCACCTTGGTCTGCTGCTATCGTTTGACTCATGTGCCACACAGACATCACCCATGTGTTAGTTTTTGAAGCCACGTTTTGCCCCTTGAGAGTCTGCTCACACTATCTATCTAGCAGGACAAACAAAGTGAAGAAACTATTCCTGTGTTTACACAGAAAATCAGAACTGTATTCTACTGTTGTAGGAGCACCTTAGTTTTATTTTATTTTACATCTGGTCACGCAGACCAGTGCTGTTTAACAGCTTTGTTGGCGACATGGACAGTGGGATCGAGTGCACCCTTAGCAAGTTTGCAGATGACACCAAGTTCTGTGGTGTTGTGGACACGCTGGAGGGAAGGGATGCCATCTAGAGGGACCTTGACAGGCTGCAGAGTTGGGCCTGTGAGAACCTCATGAAATTCAACAAGGCCAAGTGCAAGGTCCTGCATGTGGGTCTGGGCAATCCCAAGCACAAGTACAGGCTGGGTGGAGAATGGATGGAGAGCAGCCCTGAGGAAAAGGACTTGGGAGTGCCGGTGGATGAGAAGCTCAACATGAGCCGGCACCGTGCGCTGGCAGCCCAGAAAGCCAACCATGTTCTGGGCTGCTTCCAAAGCAGCGTGGGCAGCAGGGCGAGGGAGGGGATTCTGCCCCTCTACTCAGGGACTTCACACTGAAAGAGGGAAGATTTTGACTAGATAAGGAAGAAATTCTTCCCTCTGAGGGTGGTGAAGCACTGGACCAGGTTGGCCAGAGAAGTTGTGGCTGCCCCATCCCTGGAAGGGTTCAAGGCCAGGTTGGATGAGGCTTTGAGCAACCTGGTGTAGTGGAAGGGGGCTTGTAACCAGATGATCTTTGAGGTCCCTTCCAACCCAAATCACTCCATGATTCTATTCTATGATTCTATGAGAGGAAAAGAAGAAAGGAAGGTGAGCAGAGAGCACCAGCCTGCTTTCAGCTGATTCCTGTAAGTCCTAGGCTTTGTCAGAAAGCACTACCTTCCTTGGCAGCTGCATTTCCTGCAGAAATCTGTTTGGTAACACAACTTGATTACGTTGCTCCTCCCTGGCAGGCAGAAATAGATGGCAATTAATCAAAACTTAAAAGAGCTGAGACACCAGAAGACGGAGGCATTTCTTCAGGGGAAGCAGAACCAACCAATCTTTCTGAAGAGAGACCTCACCCATGCCCCAGACACAAAGACAGTACAGAGGGTAATGCTCGTTTGAAGAAGAGGGCACACAGGACAGGGAGCCAAGTGAAAGGAGCTGGCTAATGAGGAGAAAGAAAAGCAGTGTCTTCACAGAGGCAGCCACCCACAGGAGTCCGCCAGGCACATGTGAATCTCTAGTATACTCCATTCTGAATGCCTTTAAACAGTTGAGAATCTCTTAAAAACTTCAAATAGACACACAAAGTAGGATTTTAAAAGTAAAAACTCATGAGTCTGAGCTCATCCCATAGCTCTTAGGAGTTACACTCCCAGCAGGTGTCCAAGTCCTCCCAACCCATCCATGCTCCCCAAAGGCACAGCAATGTGCTCAGTTTTCAGTATGGACTCTGGCACACCTGCATCTACCCAGGCAGCATCCAGGGAAGAGATATTCTCTCCCCATCTTCCTGGTGCCACTCTGCAGGATTGTCACTTCAAAATTCCAGTCAGAACAGACTTTGGGATGACAGCAGACCTTCAGCAAGGAAAGCGTTCATGCTGAAGAGCAGCAACATTTCAGTGGCCAGCACTCAATTCACACTGTTGCAACTGTATTTTTGAATAATTCCACAAAAAAAAACAACAGTAACTTGGGTAAAAATTTATTTTTACATACAGACCATTGCAACTTAACTATTAATCAACAGCAGTTATTTTTCCTTTACAGGAAGTGACCAGCTGGTTTGAGATTAACAGAAGTCTAAGCCTGAGAGCTGGAATTCTAGTTTGAAAACCAGATGCTGGGGGAAGGGTCCTTCCAAGCACCACTCAGTTCAGTGAAGAGCTGCAAGACTTTAGCTGCAGGTCAGCTGCACTGCACAGTGCTGGCAGCAGATTCCCAGAGTCAGTTCGGAGCTTTCCGAAGCTGAACTTGTGGAGAAAGATGATGCCTGGAAAAGCACAGATGCATTTCCAGTATTTTGTTCAGCTCTCAAACTAGAAATGGAAGTGGTGAAACAGCACAACCTCTGTGAAGTACAAAACACTGAGTTACAGGGCAGCAGACAAATAGGACAGCAATAATGGTGGGGACCCCTCTAAGCCAGGTGTTCTACATGGAGCGGGTTCCTGGCCCTAATTCAAATGGACAGAGTACAAAAAATACTTTGACCAATAATCGTACTGGAAACAAACAGTCTACTAAAAAGCAATTCTTACTCTAGGTGCCAATGAGTCCTTAAAAGCAGGGAGGGGACTGAGGAGCTGCACTGGGGCAGTGTTGCCAGGATCATTCGCGCTGTTCCATTTTTACTTTGGGAGGTCTCAGGAAGGTCCTGTTTTTCTTTTCTTTCTTCCCCTTTGTGTTTGCCTGGAAATTTCTCCAGCTGTCCACACGACCATCCCGACTTTCCTGAGAACAACAGGGAGGAAATGGGAGAGTTAACAAGTGCAAGAGACAGAGAACAGGCAGTACCTACCAGTTTCAAGAGACCAATAGCAATTTCGCCCCCATCCAGCACGAAGCACCCTGGCAGCCAGAACACACAGACACTGGCAAGAGCCAGAGCACAGACACAGCACAGGGGAACTAGAAGCGAGCTGACAAACACCAGCATAACCACTGCGCTGGTGTCTTGTTTCCAAAGCAACCAGCTTGGGACGTGCAGTCCTGACTAGAGCCTACTGAATCCTCTGATGTGCAAAGGAAAAAAGAAACCTTAACTCCAATGGATGTTCCTAATCTGTCAGCCCAGAATGTGCCATTTCCTTACTCTGTCTCACATCCTTGAGACAGCTCTCCTTGTGCTGCAGCTTGGAGGCACAGAGAAGAGGGAATGGAAACATACTGCTGCCTTCTCTCACGCTTCTTGTCCCAAGCTTCATCACAAAGACAATGAGAAAAGATCTCTGGTGCACTCTTTTCTCCTCTCCCTGTCCTACCTGCAAAGCAGCACAAACCATTCCTAAAAAAAAAAAAAAAAAGACTCTCCACAAAGCCAACCTATGATCCCTACAGGCTGAAGGTTTCACACAGCAGGCCGGAACAAGTCCAGGGATGATCCACTTCACAGCGTGGGATTCCTACACTCCAGGCCCATCTGACCATAGCCATGCCGGCAGCACTGGTGCTGCACAAGGTCTCTGGCTACAACGGCTCTCTGCTTCTCCCCTCCTTCCCCAGGGCAGGATGCGGGAAGGCCAGGCACTAGCAGCGATCTGGACGACGGGGCAGAGTGCACCCGCAGTGAGTGTGTAGATGACACAAAACAGGAGGAGAGGCTGATATGCCAGAGGGTCGTGCTGCCAACCAGTGAGACCTGGACAGGCTGGAGAAACGAGCCAACAGGAACCTCATGCAGTTCAACACAGAGACATGCAAAGTCCTAGCCCAGGGAAGGAACAATCCCATGCACCAGCACGCGCTGGGGGCCACCCAGCTAGAAAGTAGCTCGGCAGAAGAGAACCTGGGCGTCCCGGTGGACACCAGGTTGAACGTGAGCCAACAACATGCCCTTGCTGCAAAGGCGGCGAATGGTGTCCTGGGCTGCATTAGGCAAAGCACTGCCAGCAGGTCTAGGGAGGTGATCCTTGCCCTCTGCTCCATGCTGGTGAGGCCAGCTCTGCTGGGCTCTCCAGGACAATAGTATCAACAGTTCTGCAGCTCGCTTGTTTGGTCCATCATTGTTTCTTGCAATACTTGCCCACACTTCCTCAGCTGCTTTGCCTTACTGCATCCCTACAGCAACGACACCCAAGTGCTGCAGCCATTCTGCCAGGAGAACACAGAACTTCTGCCAGCACGAAGGCCAGGGACATACTCATTCATCTCTCTGGCATTACGTGACAAAACCCATAGTGCACTCAACACAGCAGCATTACATGTTCTCCAGAATATCCAGCTTCCTATCTCCACTTTATATAGCACATGGACACAAACTCTTCCCATCCGAGTCTCCAGAAACATCCTGGTTGTCCACTTTCCACAGGATGTCAGTGCAGCTCATACAATTCTCTCCCAGATACCCTCTTTTTTAAAGTTCCCTTGAAGATAAACTGGGATCCGGCTTTGGATTAAATGAAGAATTTAGCTCATCTTTTCATGAGGTTCTGCACACCGTTACTGACTTCTTTCCTGCCCACCACCCCCGCACGCTGCAAGACTTCACCTCTGGTGTGTAATGAGGGAAGAGTTACAGGCCAGACCAAATATTTTGGCAGGATGCAGGTCTGACCTCTCGAACAGCAGCACAACCACAAGGCTACTTCTGACACGCCTAAATCTTGAGTACAGGGTGGAGGGGTCGAAGGGAAGTGGCTGTTGTTCAGGTCTCTGACATCCACGGGAGATACAAACTCCACAAATGTCAGCAACCAGACTGAAAAGTACCAACGACAGCCCACACCAGCCGGTGAACAGCTGCCAGATTAACCTTTACTCATCACGAGTGACCTGCGCCCCGCAGCAATTCAGATTTCTGACCAGGGACAAGAACGAACTGCTGCCAGAGCTGAAAAATACTGCACCTTAATTTCCTAGACCTGTTTCTGGAAAGGTGATACCAAAGTCCTGTTGCTGGGCTCTTCTCCCCACACAAGGGCAAAACACAGGCTTGGGCAGGATCTTTTACTAAGTGTCAAATTATTTTACAGCACCTGCAGACAAAAAGTCTCCCTTCTCTCTAGGGGCATCCCCTGCAGCACAGCCAATAATTGCTGAGGCCCATCCTGTAAGTTAAGCTGCTGATTACCTCAAAATTCTTCTGCCATTCTCGCTCTCGTTTAGCTTTCTCCTGTGCCTCAATTTCCTCTTCCCTCTGCCGCTTCCTGGAAGAGAAGCCACAAAGAAGCTATGAACCCACAAGCATCTCCTTTAAAGAAAGGCAGTAATACTTTCAAAACATCTCGGAAAGGTCTTCTTATTTCTTGGCAGATTAAAGTGCTTATCAGAAGAGACAAATATGCACACCTAACATAGCACAGCAAATAGAATTTTATTTCAAATCTAGAAGAGCAGCAAGCAGAGGAGATGGTTTGGCACCACTGACAGCATGCACATCCTTAGTGAGTCAGCTTCTCTTGCTCAGCACAACACGCTGGACTCCTTCATAACTCTAGTGACAAGACTAAAACTGTCGAGAGTACACATTTTGAGAAGTTAATAAACACAAGGTGAGAATGAATTTTTTTTCCCCTTAATTTTCATCTGTAATCAAAATTAGTGCCCTACAACCACCTCCGAGACTGCCTTCACTGACCAGTACCGAAACTCCACAGTGGCCACCTGGGCAACATGTGATCAAAACATCTGAAGTAGTTCAGGATCAGGGTATTTCCAGCACTTAATTAAAACTAAAAATAAATTCTTTGCATGCAAAATAACATGCAGAAATGCATCACCATTTCACTGTTTTGGCTGGCCTCATGTATACACATAAGATTAGATAAGCATACTAAGTATATCAATGTCTTAAACACAGGAGGGTAAGTTTCCTGTTTGCATTTCTCAAGCACAGCTCTACAACCCACAGGTTGCCCAGAGAAGTGGTGGAATCTGCATCACTGGAAGTCAGCTTGACAGGACCCTTGTTAATCTAATCCCAGGCCCTGCTTTCAGCAG